GGCATTTTAAACCCTTCCCACACTCTTGCAATATTCTAAACTCTAAATGCTCTAAAAGAGCACATGACTTATCTCTCTGTGCCTCCGCTGCTCTCAGCCACCTGCAAGAGTTCTAAGCCACGCCCACTAAGCCACGCCCACTTTTCTCGCTCTGCTCGGAGAACAGCTGATCAGCTGTTCAGCTGCAGGAGGAAGCTTATCCTGCAGAGTGGGTTGCACAATTGTGCAGCAGGTGCTAAATAATTTAAAATAATTTCTTTTAAATAAAAATTTCATGACGATCGTGTGGCTCATCCTTCAGTCAGCCAATTGTGTGTCATGTCCAATCTTGTTTTGAAAATCTGCGATAAAGCAAGTCCGCAAAAAACGAACCGTGAAATAACGAGGGACTACTGTATACAGTATGTGTTCAAAGCACAACAACCGATAGTCTGCTTCAGCTTTTTAAACATACAGAAGCATTGGGCACGCCCACGCTAAGTGATATACAGTGTCCCTGATTCAGCTTTTGTAGTCAACAATCTATAAGAAAACGTTGCATGTGTGCTCAACCTCCACAACCAACCCTGCCTCTTAGCAGTACACAGCACCACAGCCCAAACAATCACTGTCCTACTGGGAGCATTTCAGAGAAATAATCAAGCAAATTTGTTGCGGTGCCCCTCACTCCACCCGTTTTCCATTTTTAACTCAAACATCAGGTGTTTCAATTTGCATGTTTTACTTTGAGGGTTCCTCTTTTTCCAAGTGGTCAAAGGTCATAAGCCAGCTGTACTTACGTTCTGCTTGCAGCTGGACAAAGTAGCCCAAGGTGAGCGCCATGGTTTGCGAATCCACCGTGTTCAAGACCTTGGCGGCTGAAGTGCCCAGTAAAGGAATGCCATTGTGTTGGACATAGTAGGTCATCTCTGCTGGATTCTTCAACCCAAACACTCTGCGGATGCTCACCATCTGATTGACAATGATAAGGTGCACACTTATAGGGAATAAAACAACAACTGTTACTAAAGACTAATTAAATAGTACAGTGAAACCATGCATTTTGGTGCGCAGAGGGAATAGCACATCGAGATCACTTGTTTAGTAAAAGATTCAACCTATGGCTTGTTTTGATGGGCAATTAGCACATGATGAGGCTGAGGAGCTCCCTAATTACGGGAGGTAGACCACAACTAATCACCCAAGAGCTGCTGAAGTACTTATCAAAGTGTGCATCTAACGAAACATTCATAACGATAGAAAGAAGCAAAACATAAAAGTTGAACTGAAATGACATTTGATTATCATGCCAGGTCAAGCTGACAAAACATCACAGGAAAAAGTTAATTGATGTTTTTTCTATGCACTGCTCTGGTACCTGAATGGTGAAGCTGCCAACAGTTGTTGCTCGTCGAAAACGAGTGCCCTGCTGGCCCGCCAACACAAACAACTCTGCCAGGCGCTGCTCCATTAGATTGGCAAAGCTTTGGTACTGTCCATCCAGGCTGGCGTTGTCAACATCCTGGATCACTGCAAATGTTGTCGAAAGGCAGGGAGTGCACAGATCATTGTAAAAGAGGATAGAATTAATTGTTTTTGATGACAGAATATTGTTCTAAAAAATAGAATTACCATAGGTGTTCAGAGTTTTTGCAGTTGACCAATTAAACTGATCGTAAAACATTTATGCAAAAATCAATCACTCCCTAGCTGCTTCTCAAATGTCATAGCAAATCTATATAGCCAAAACATTAAAACTATTGGCATTTCTTTGGGGAAAAATGCACCCACCACCTACTAATTCATTCTCCTAATTGCAGAAGCAGCACAGCAGCAGGACAATGTGCTCTCATTAATCTGACCTCCAAACTCTCAGGAGAAATCCAACCACTGAAACAAAATAATTCACTGCCAACATCCCACCCTGTCAAATTATGCTGTTTTTGTTGTCACAACCCTTGATGCTACTTTCCAACGCAAAGAAAAACCTTTAGCACTATAAGGAAGTTTGATCTGTTAACTCATAGTTATGCTTTTTATTTATATATTTATAATATAATTTTTAAAATATCTACTTGTTAGTATGTTACAATGTAAGTCTGTACAGTTGTTCAAAAAGTATTCAGTCATCGCCAATTTACACTGTGATGATGTCACTTTTGGGTTAGCGTGTCACTTCCTGTTTTGATTCCATGGTTGCTGGTGGAGTGTAGCAGCCGTAATAAATGTGCTCAAAACAAGCCTTCACCATCCGCTTCAAAGCATATTTAGGGATTGCCATAAGTGTGTATTTGTAACTTTAGCAATGTTATCATTCAAAAATAGTCATTATTATAGAAAAATAGTTGATTCTCGTTGGGGAAAGGAAAGGAAGGAGCAGCTTATTTACAGTCATATTTTTTTCTGTAAATGTACACAATGTACCCATTCACAATACAATGGATTGTCTGTATGTTTCTAAGATAATATTTTGTATTAAATTTACAGCTTCACCATAAGTCAAGGAGTAGACAGTCAAAAACTGCTGCAACGTTTTTGATTCTGATGACAGTCGTCATTATCTGCATCGTTTTTATGTTTATATTTCTGATTTACTTCATTTTGTATTTTGCTTTGTGTGTTACCTGTTGTTCTGTCTGTGTGGCCTTGTCGCTGTTTTAAGTACTCTATAAATAAAATGGTATGGTATGGTATGATTTTGGCTTATCGTGACACTAAGTTGGAGTTCATACACTAAACAAGAACGCCACAGTTAGATTTTGCTACACCTAGCTAAGTTTCATGAAAACTAACCCTCCTCTGGTGCATCATACCTAAACGCACTGTACATGTGTGTATTTGTAAGTTAAAGCAATCTGTTTCGTGAGGTCGCACGTGTTTAACCAGAAGCTGTTCTACACTTGGAATACAGGTAAATGTCCAATAAATTTCAGATGAACAGACAGAAATGGAAACAAACACATACACATAAAGAGATTTAGTCCATCTTTTCTCTACTACCATACAAAAGGAATGGAAATTCCTCCATCCAGATGCTCTAATTCATCAACAGCTGAACAAGCAGTTCTGCTGGTTGTACATTTTATTCACTCCGAGTAAATCTCATTACGAAGGTGCTGACCTTGTACTGACTCGGCCACTTATTGCAGCAAGCGGGAGGTTAAAGAACCACAAAGACTGATCTGAAAACCCGTCCATATTACTGAATACCTGTAAGGATGCCCTCGAGCATCAAGATTTATTGTTCAAGTTCGACATATGTGGTCAGTCATAGAGCTTGAATGGCTAACTGCTCATATTAAGAGACGTTTAGGCTCAAACATGAGCAGAAATGGTTTAAATTGACACAGTTAGTGCAAGAATTACAGTATAAAGGATTTTTGCCCAATACATCCTTCATGGTGTGTAATTTGCTGCTTGAAAAAAAGAAAAGTTTGCATTTGACAACTTAGATGTTCCCCTGTCAGCAACTCGTTTCTGCAGGGTGATGAATGTATTCTGTAAACAAAGTTGGTCTTTTTCTTCATTAAAAGCAATGACATCCTTACCTGTGACAACCCAGAAGTCTCTTGTTGCAATAGATGTGTTCAGATTGTGATATTCAATCGCTGCAAGACAAAAAACAAACATTTGATTTTAAAACGTACATTTGTTTTCTAACTTGGATTAATCTGCTTTCGATTTGTGTTCTTCGTTGTTAGATATTTTGTATTTGAGAAATAATTTTCCGTAGATCTGAGCCAAAAAAACAATTGTTGGGCAAAAGTTTTGACTCTGGCACATTATTTTATTCAATGTTTTTTTTTTTTTTTTTCATTTGAGCTCTCAGTTCAAAGCCTCATTATCACTGGATGTCAGACAAACAGAAGAGACGAGGAGCTTTAAGCAGCTTGAGCTCTGGTTGTCTCTGTGTTCTCTTACATCTCTTTCCTGCCTGATTAAGCTGTTGTGCTGAAGGCTGGTGCAGGGGGTGTTTGGGGGAATGCTGTATCAGTGGCCTGTGAAAGCCGACTCGCAGAACTGTACGCTCAGGCATGACGAGGGAGACGGGTGCAGGGTGGGGGAGGGAGAGAGAGGTGAAAGGAGCAGCAAGGCAGTTTTTGCACTGGTGATAGATAGAACCGCAGGGCTGTCAGCAAAATCAGTTTTACGCAGTCTGTTCGCCTGAAACGCATGAAAGCAGTAAAAAAACAGAGAAGGTTTTCACATGAAGATCTGCTGGTTTACATTAAGAACCAGTGGGTTTAAAATTTCGAAATTGCTGATAGAAAGTAATTATTAAAACAATCCATCACATTTTACACCTTTGGTGAAAGCAGTGTATAAATTTCCCCCCTTATGTTCACTGATACTTCGCCTGAGAGAAATATCTGGAGAGAGGTGGAGGTTTTGAAGAACTGAACACTGCACTTACCATAATTTCCAGACTATAAACTGCTACTTTTTTCACACGCTTTGAACACCACGGCTTATACAATGCTGTGGCTAATTTATGGATTTTTTTTTTTTTTTTTTTTGGATGAGCTGACAAGTTTCATGACGTCAAAACATTTAGTCTTGTCACACATTAAGATCAAAATATCTATTTTACAAGAGAGACCTGGCCAAGACTGGCAGCATACAGAAGGAGGAATTAAAAAAAAACGCTCAATAAAAAAATTAAAAAACATTCAGTTACAACACATAGTCACAATAAACATAGACTTACAATAAAACAAATAACTCAATTAAAACAATTGCACTTCTGCAACTTGAACATAATGGGATCTATCATGGTATTAAATACATTCAGAGATACTAGTGTTCTAAGTTTAAGCTTTGATTGCAAACTGTTCCTTGAGGTTGGAGTGGAAAAGCTGAAGGCTTTCTTCCCCCTTTCTGTTCTGACACAAGGAACACTAAAATTTAAAATATCTTTAGACTGTAGGCTGTAGGTCCTGTTGTGTAAAGTTAACAAAAATGAAAGATAAGATGCTGTCAACTTAAGAATAACCTTGTAAATCAAAACATACCAGTGGCCAAGCCGGCGTACATGCAGAGATGGTCATTTTACCTTAGCATACTAGAGACAGTGATGCATTAGGGCTCCATAATTTGTAATAAACTGCAAAATGCCATGATACACGCTGTCCAGCATGTGAAAACATTGAGCAGAGGCGTTCATGTGTAATGCATCACCATAGTCAATAATCAGAAGAAAAGTTGACGCCACCAATTTCTGTTTTACCCTAAAATAAATTATATATATTTATTATCTTATGTATATTTCTCTCGTCTTATATTCGGTTTACCTGTATAAATAAAGGTTTTAAAAAAATCTGAGCAATAAAATTACAGAACAGGTCACAGTGGACCAATGAAACGGGGAGGGGAGGCCAATGAAACGGCCCGTTCTCTCCTCCCCTCCCTGTTGTGTTCCGAAGGACAGCACAAGCTTGTGCAGGGAGGAAGGTGAAGCAATGACTTCCTGTTAGGCTACTGTACTTTATTTACTTTTTAAACCAGCTGTTACAGGCACTGTTCAGAAAAAAAACATTTACTGTACGTGTTTGTGTAGGTCACCAGTACGTATTTAAATAAAAGATTTTTAAAAATCGATCTATGTAAATATCTCATGTTACAATGTGGACACCCGCGGCTTATAGACAAGCACGGCTTATATACATACAGAATTATTGTTTTTATTTATTTAGTGGGTGCGGCTTATATTCGGGTGAGCTCAATAGTCTGAAAATTACGGTAGTTCAGTCTACACAGGAAACACAGGGCTGCAAACAGGCACATTGGAGTGGAGGAAGATTGCCCAGAGCCCACATGGCTGCTGGAAGAATCCCCTCCTGTTAATTAATTACTGCAAAAACTGGCTTTGAAGTGAGGAAACAGTCGCTGCCAGCATATGCTCACACCTCCTGTGAAAGGTGAGACATTACTAAAAGTAACGCTGCAGTAAGAACAAAAAAAAAAAAACATTGTTTCCCACTTCTTTATGTTTTACATTCATGTCTCACTGGGTTTGCTTCATTGTCAGTTTCTGCTTCTATCTTTGCTAAGCAAAATATAAATTGCCTCTAACCAAATTATGTGGCCCAATTCAATCACAGCACAAAGTATGTTTTTATTTGAGGCCCACAAACACAAATAGTGTTTATCTTCATTTAAACTATCAAAACTACTTCTTGTTGCCTGGATGATGAGCTAAGACAAAGATTCCTTAAAATGTGGTTTAGAAATTAACATTTCTTTTGTCACGATTTGAGAAAAACAAAACATTTGTGTTTAATTTTGTGTCTTCTGTTGTTTCTGTATCAAACAATTGATTGTGTATTGCACTGAACAGCTCATAGGAGAAAAATTACAAGACTATATTTAGGCCCACCACATTCAGGCCTGTGTATCTATATATTATATGTAAACAGGAAAGGAAAGTCCACGGCTTTGAACATTAATCATAAACTAGATCAATTACTTATTTTCACTTACAGCTCTTCCACACTGCCAACCTAACTACACACTCTACACACCACACAACGTATTACAATGTGGCTGAATTGTAGCAAATTTGGAAAACCTCATGACACTGGCCCTCGTTCAGCATTAACAAATATTAATGTCTTCTTCCCTGATTAAAAATAATGTTTTGTAGTTTTTCTGCCTTGAAGCAGATTTAAGTTTTTAAAGACAAGATATCATCTTTAAATACAAACAGATTGTTGAAAGTTTGCACCAGACATTTTTATTCTAGTAAATGTGGTATGTTATCATAAGCACTGTATTAACAACAAATAATTACTGGTGGAAGAATGAATGGCTGAATAGACTCTAAATATTATGTTTAGTTCATTTGTTGACAGGGGAATTAAACATTTAGAAATCAACATTTTTTTAAGAACAACTGAGCTTTAGTGGTATTTTTGAAGACTATACCTTGCGGCATTTTTGAGACAGATAGAATGAAATGATTTCAACAACAGCTGCCATCAGAAGCCAAAAGAAAACCTCCCAAGACTGTTCAGTCATAGGAAAGTTACAGCCTAAGGCTCAAGCTGCTCAAAGTTTTCAAGCATCAACTTTTTTTTTTTTGCAACCAAAGAAATTCAAGCACTTGAGTTGGTCAGACATAATTGTAACTCTTGTAGTTGTATTTCTGCTTGAACAGAAAGTTAAAAGGTGCCGTTTCCACATGTTGGCCTTGACCAGAGGGCTTTTAAAACTAAACTTTTTCCAGATCCGTTTGAAATCATTGAGTCAGAGCTTTTGGTAAACATAATTTCATTATTAGAGACATTGTTGCTGTTTATGTGCACAAAATCTCAGTATGTAACAGCTGCACACCATGAGCACATATTATCCATGCATTAAAGCACATTTTAGAATAAAACTGCACATCAGCAGCACTCACAGGCCAACAAGTATTCTCTTTATTTGAGTTTATAAAGCAGATTAAAGGCCTTGTTTGGTTCTAGTTTAATACTTACACTGATTAAAAGGAGATGTTTAGACAAAAAGAGGAAACAGTTGGAAAAAAATGTAAACCTTTGTCTTGTCAGTCTGCAGAGATTTTACATAAAATATGTGACAAAACGTGACAGCCTGGTTGATTGATAGTGTTTGTTGATTTGTATTATCGGTACTTCAGAGTAATACTCTGTAGAGGATTATTGTATTTTGTTTACACATAAAGCACCAGAGAAGTCTAAATCAGGAAAGTAAAATGTGTTTTCTCTTACACAATGGAAATGTGTGTTTATTGGTAAAACAGTGTGTGTGTGTGGGGGGGGGGGGACTGTATATGTTACCTTGTAAGACTAATTTTTCTAAATTATACTACAGTGTGAGGACTACCAACTGCTCCTTATGGGGTCCAAAAGCTCGAGTCCCATAAGAGGAAGTGCTGTTGGTGGGTTAGGGGTTAGGTTTAGGACTAAGGTGTGAATTGAGGATGGGTTAGGTTTGGGGTTAGGTATGTACTGGTAATGATTAGGTTTAGGATAAAGGTCAGGGTTAGGATATAGAAATGAATGAAAATTGAATGGAAGTCAATGAAAAGTCCCTGTAAAAATAGAAATACATATTTTTGTCTGTATGTGTGGGTGAGGGTGGGGGGGGGGGGGGGTAAAATAGCTTTGAACCCCGTGTCAACTTCAAGAGTTTTGTTTCACAACTTTACTGATGAATTATCCAATATGATATTATATGAAACAAATAATTTCTCATCTGAGGATTAATAAAATCCCCCCCAAAACCGATGTCTCGTTTTATACACATCTGAGCCTCGTGTCAGTTATAATTCCCTCTAGTGAAACAGACTGGAACTCCCCTGGGACTACAGTTTAGACCCCTACTGATTCTCTGTCACCCTTCATTTGTCTCAGTTTATGCACATTTTTCAAGTAGACTCATGTTGAATGTATCTTCATAGGAGACTGAGAGGACAGTTATGGGCTTACTTGTATCAGTTTAACAACTACTCCATATGGTGACATTTTGAACCACAGTTGTGTCTAAAAGGAGCAGTTAAACAATGAAAAACATCCAGTTACTTCAAACCTGAGTGTGAGTCAGGCTTGTTAACTTTAAAAACTTATTCAAATAAATTTACTGCAAACAAGTTTTGTTGACTAAAATATGTACTTTCTATTAGAACTGTAACTTACGTTCAGCAATAATAAGTGGTGGATAGAAGAGGAAGTAGCCCACCAGCTCAGCAGAAAGCTGACCAAGGAGGTTTGAGGCAACCGTTCCGTTAAGGTAGACAGTCCTATTCTTTACAGTGTAGACCAGGGACACAGCAGGAGAGGCGGCTGTCTGAGAGACACTTAGCATCTATAAAAAACAACAAAAAGAGAAAAAAGTTCAGGCCAGAAAAAATAATGGAAGAAGATGAAAGTTTTAAATAACACAAATTAGTAGGACTATGCTGTTTACTGTAATGTACAATTTATAGGCAAATGACATAAAGTAGAGTAACAGAATCATCTCAATCTGTATAAAAATCTTCCAGCAGTCAAACAGCAAAGCAAAAAAGTCTGAAAGTATGCAAAAAAATGTGACTTTTTTAATGAAATTTAATATGGCAGCTGCTTAAAATTAATTCAAACATTGCCTCTCTAGACAATGAATATTTTAAGATATTTAAAAAAGACACTCCAATAAAATAAGGGTCAGTTTTTGCACAAATTACACACAATTCACATATCTTTGTGGCTGCCAAATCATAAGTTATATGGTGACATTGAAGTGTGAAAATAAACAACAAAAAAAAGTTTAGGTGTGTTCTAATGCTGAAAACACTACTTGCTAAAATTTCTGCAAACAGGAAAACAATAAAATAAAAAAAAGAGGTAAATCAAGCCAAATCTTTATTTTTTTAGGTTTGGTAACTTCATATCTTCCAGTCTCAAAACTAAAGGGGACACTAATACAGATGAAAAAGTGCAGCGCAGCAGAATAGTTTTACCACAGTACCTGAACTGAGAGTTGGCTTTTAACTTCGAGAACTTTGGCCTGAGCCTCAGAAAACACCTTCTCCAACCTCTGCTCCATCATTTGAGAGAAGCGACAGGATCGAGGATCATCACCCATTCCCACAAATTGCAAGACTGCAACAGAGATAGTTAAATAACTGCACAATAAATTGGCTTCTGGACCTTCTTAAGCTGTGCTGTGTAGAAGAGCAGTAGAAAACATGGCACCGGATCCTATATGCCTAAAGTAGACATGAACCTTATGTATTCTGACTGAAAAAGTAATTTCCTTCTCTAATGTGGTCTTGCATTGTGGTGCATTTATTTTCTATTTTCTATCCCCTCTGCTTCTGTGTTCAGTCACAGAAGGAACAAATTACAGCAAATGTCAAGTTGATCAGTCTCTTGTTTATTTTCATCCTGAGTTTGCACCGGCTGACCTGTTTTTAGCTGGAAGCCGGTGGCAGGGTTGGTTCTCCACAATGCAACAGGGGAAGGCAAGGCAGTTACCAAGGGGAGATACTGTCGCAGGTCTGCAATCAGCTTATCGCGGCCATATGATGTCAAGCCCTCCACCACTACAGATGGAGGATAAACTGTGTCCCCTCCTGTCACGTGATATGCCACTGTCATGTTGGGAGAACCAAAAACAGTCTCCACCTGACAAGGTTGAAGAAAATAAAAAGAGTTAAATCACTGAATGTCATTCCAGATGAAGATATCAATTTTGTTTTTACTTTACTTTATATAAGCAGTGGTATATTATAACTGTGTCTAACAGCTGTGCAAAAAACACAAATGCATCAATGTGGTTCACGATGGTGTGCATCACTGTGAGAGATAACTGAAGTACTCGGAGAAAACTCGCACAAGCGCAGTATGAGTATCCAATCTCCAAACGGAAAAAGATCTCAAGCCAAGTGTTAAGCTCAGGACCTTCCAGCTGCACAATAGCAGTCTCATAATGCAACACACTTTGTGCACTGTGTTCAGTAGAACTGCAAAACAGCTCAGTAGGAAAAGTTGCTACAATAAATCATATTTAAGCTTTCTATTGAAAGTGCAGCCGATGGATGGGTCATGTCTTGATTTTTTTTTATTTTATTTTATCAAGTACAAAGAGTAGGCATGTTCTGGTTTACAGAATAACAAATCTTGTTACATCTGAATTGCATAAATGAATTGTATTTTTACCATCATGAACATATGAAAGGTTTAAAGTGAATGAATGAACGAATGAATGAATGTTTGTTTTTTTGTCAAGTCAAAAAGGACAGTTTCAAACAAATAAATAAATAATTAAATCCTTTATGACATATATATATATATATATATATATATATATATATATATATATATATATATAGTAGAAGTCAAAGTCTAATTATGCCTCTTTTTTAATTCCTTATGGATTCCTCCAAAACAAAATATGCAAAAACAACAAACACACATGAACAAATGGAAAGAAAAAAAATACCTAACAGAACATCAATATACAATAATATTGATGTCCTCCCATATACACTTATACACATACATATAAATATAAATCACTGTTTTGCATTAATATTATTACTATTATTATTACAAGTGTTAAATGTCAATGTATTATTATTATTATCATCATTATCATCAAGAAATGTTATAAACTGTAACTCTTCATTAACTTATTTACATTTACTTACTAAACGTCATTTCCTCACTTACACTGGAACAGCAGTGGATAGTATCAGACACACCTGGACATTTTATACTGTGAAACTAGAGAATCCAAACTGAAGCAAGTTTGAGTTCATACTCAAACAAATAAAAGACAAGCAGACCCAGAAGTTGTGTGAATAGAGCAGCAGAAAGAAAATGTTTTTTAAATAAGATAACAAGATGACAACACTAAACTCATGATGTCCACCCGCTTTAGATGTCATCAGCCATTAAATGGCCATTAATAATTGTTATCATCTCCATATGTGGTGGTCAGACTGCCCCTCCTGTACCTCCTAGTGGGTTTAAAGGTACGTTGTTATCGTTATTAGCAATGATAATGAGCTCTGTTTTTAGCTTTGTTAGTGCTCATAATAGCTTCACGTGGTTAGGTTTAGAGTAAAGGGTCTGGCGGTTAGGTTAGGGTCTTGGTTAGGTTTAGGCACAAGGGTAAGGGGGTTAAGTTTAGGGTTGGTCCTCTGGGTCAGGTGTAAGCTTACGTTTAGGAAAAAGGTTACATACGCTGGAAAAACAACAAAAAGACACTTTCTGGTTTACCCCCGTGCGACGCTGCCTATTATCACCGATAATAACGATAATAATATACCTTTAAACCTACTAGGAGGTAGGTGGGACAGTTTGACCACTACATATGGGGATGATAACAACTAATAACAACCTTTTAATGGACTGATAACATCCGAAGCTGCTCTGATGTCCTGAAAGTTTAGTACCAATAAATCATAAAAGAGAGTATACAAAGATGAGGTGTGAATGTGATATGAACCAGGAAAAACTTAAAGGCTGCTGATTAGCAAGAAGACGGTTAAAAACTACAAAACATGGAGAGATTTTAAGCAAGTATGTTTAGGACATATACACTGTATGTATCATTTTCTTCATATACCAACGGAAAAACAATGAACACATTTGTATCACGTATTATAACACAGGAGATTGTTCATGTGTTTGTCAGGAAAAAGTTTGACTTGTCTTTGAACCTCCTTCATATTAAAACTGGAAAAGGGAATGCTGACAGATTCAGGTGTTTTTTGTAGGACAGGTGGAATCATTCAGATCAGTTATCTGAATGCCTGAGCTGAAAAAGAGGCAAAAACACTGAGAGTCTCTTGTCTCTGGAGCTGAAAGTTACTCTTCTACCGCCACACAATTCAGCCTTGTTACACGAGCTCTGTGAATAGAGCTCTTTATTATCGCTTCATCCTCAGGCTCGGCTCATGTGAAGGTGTTATTAAGAGATTGCATTTCGAACACACTTATTAACTCTGTCTCAAAGTCTGTGACAGACTGGGGCACAGTGACCAAACAGATCTCACATTTGACATTTGAAAAGTTTCAGATCGCAGCTGACCTCTTGCTACAGAGCGAGACAGGAAAAATGCTTTAAAAAATGTTTTAGTCACGTGGTTCTCTTCATTCAGTTCATTTCCCGTTATCTTTTCAACATCAGCTCGGCACGTTTCTCCTCCCAACCTTTTTAACCTATAATTAAACAGAAAGGCAATTTCCTCCGCCAACAGCTTGATTCCCATTGAATATAAAAGCTGCTCTACTAAAATTAACCCATGCAATGCTGGAATGAGTGAGAAGTGTGCTGAAGCAGGATGCCTTTTGAGATCACAGAGAAAGATTGAAGGTGAACACGAGCAGGACTCATGCACACATCTCAGTGTTTTGATACTAGCACATATTGAGAAACTGCACACAGATCAGCTAACACACTAAAGATATGGGGAGTTTCCCTTCCCAGTAAATTCCAATCCTTTAAAGCTATAGTTCAAATAGTTATTTCAATGTGAGACTGTGTGGAAAGGTTATGAGTAATTAATATCTCACCTGTGGTAGATAGCACTTTGAACCACCTCAGTTTAAAAAAATGGGGTTTAGTTCTGACTGATTCCATACATCAACAACTATTGCAGATGGACTAAGATCTAAGTGGATTACTGCAGTCTCAAAAATAACTTCTGTCACAAAATGCTCAGAGAGGTGCACTAGAATGTTGTTTTATGAACCTTGACTCTGCCATCAATGGTTCATTAGATGACGGTTACATAAAATTCTATGGACAGATAACTAGTGGTAGTTTGATGTGGTATTCCTGATGCAGCCAGAGGCACTTTCTGCAGGAATATCATTATATGTCTGCCTGAATGAGCATGTAATGCCAAACTACTGCTGATATAAAAGTTTAAAAATCTGCTATGTTGTGTTTTAGATTTAATCTGTTTTACAATGTCAGCAATCTGGTTTGAACGAGCTTGGAACAACTAATAGGCATCAGTGTAGTTTGAATAAAAGTCTATTTCTCCAATCTTAGGGCATTCAAAGAGTCATCTACAACAGGTAAGATGTTAACTGTTTATAACCTTACATAAACTTCCCACTTTAAAGTATCTGAACCATCCCTTTATTAAAGACAAATGTAATTGTGTCGACTAGAACAAATTACATTTTAGGTAACACTGTTATATTTTGCTGCTATAAATTCATTTATTCATGTAGAACCAAGTGAGACTACAAGCATATCTTAAAGACATAAAATCTTTGACAGCTTCATTTTCTGCATTTAAATTCAATCAAGACAGTGGCTGCTATTTCTGGGTATGATAACCTATTGAATAACACTAGAGGGCAGTACCTTAGTCTCCATTCCCACTCAGAAAAAAAAAGGGCATTAATTTATGAAATCCTTAAACCAAAACATGAAGCAAGATATTAAGATAGAATCACCAGATTTAGAAACAAAATCCAAAATATCGTTTAAAGTTCTTCTCAGGCATGGTTTCATAATATCCTGACAAGGCATTTCATCCTCAGAAAATGAAAAACTAAATGTTTTGTTCTGCGTTCAAACCTCACTGATCTTTTTCATTTCCTACGGTTGTACTTGAAAATAACTTTGCATTGCTAAAAGGTGCTGTTAACACAGATTCACACAAAGTGAAGCTATTAGAAGATTGCTAGAGAGAGAAAGTAGATGGGATGCTCTCTGGCACAGTGGGAAACATGACTGGTCCCACAAATAGCTAATCAAAAATACACAAAAGGCAATGTGCATGCACTGGAAGTGTTTGTTGGAAAAACACTAGTGGTTTCATTTGGAATTGGTTTTTGATCAAACAGATCTGGAATTGATAGTTTCAAAAAAACTGTAAAAATGTTTCTTGTAACCCATCTAAAGATAAGCTACAGTCCTTATCTTTAATAGTGGTACAGTTATTCAAATATGTGACACCACAGTCTGCCTTCTGGGACAAAGTCAGCCTAATTTCTATATTGGTCCTCGTCTCTTCTCATGCGGCCTACACCATGGTCCTTAGTACAATAGTATTGGCTTTCACCTGGGATAAAGAGCTGTTTATTGAACCCAATGCACAGCTATTCCCAAAACACATTTATTTATATATATATATATATATATATATATATATATATATATATATATATATATATATATATATATATATACATACATACAAAGTACGTACATACGTATATACATACATACATACATACAGTACATGGTATATATGTTATGAGTATACTGTCTGCAGTGGTAACATATTGTGGATTGCTTGGCTGAAAGGTTTGTTCAATCTGATAAAAAATAAAACAGATAAACTACAGAAAACTGAAAAAAATTCCATCCTCATTCTAAAGAAACTGAATGTGGGTAAGCTATGCAGGGTAGACAGTATATATCTTTAGGCTGAGTAGGATTTACTGAAAATAATAAAATATCTCTTCCTACAATTGTCTTGTGACCCCTTGGTTTTGCCTGCAGATTTGATTCATTGTGCACATGCACAAAGATTTTCCTTTGAAGACAGTGTAAAATATATAAATACAATACTTTCCACCAAGTAAACACAAAAAATAAAAACAACTACGGTTATGTGGTGCCATCACTTGTTTATACATCTGCTACTGAATATAAATGGCTCCTGTTCTTACATGAGGCAGTACATTTCCACACCTATATTTGGTACTCTAATTCTTTGCAACTTATGTGCATTTGAATGTTCTAGATTATTGTTTGTAAAATCAGGTTTCTGTTACGCTGCTAACTCATGCAAACACAAACTCACTCATGCACTTGTGTGAGAGCATGCACATTTTGCCACACATTACCTGTGCTTGTGCAGTCGTATCATTCAGAGCTTTTCTGAGCCCCTGACTTAGTCCCCTTCGTAGGTTTTGTCTCTGTATACTGTCCAACCTGTTCCTCCTCACATAGATTGAAACAACTAAAAAAAGACAAAAAGTTTAGAATAAAAACTGGAAGAAAAACACTTTTTTTCTTTTAACAATTGTTGCAAAAAGCTTTGCTGACCTGTTTTCACCCACAGTCTCTCTGTGATGTTGCACTGTGGCAGTGGAGGTTCTGTGGTTGTGGTGAAAGGCGAGACGAAGACAGTGGTGACCCCCCTCGGGGGGCTTGTTCTTTGGATGGGTGACGTGAAAGTTCTCCTGCTGGTATAAGCCCTGATGGTGGTGGTTGTGGTTCTTCTGGTAATAAGTGTGTGATGTGGTGTGGTTGTTGGGGTTAAATGTGTTGTTACTTTTACATAAGCTGTGCTTGTGGTGGGGGAAGTTGTAGTTGAAGCTAAAGTTGTGGTGGTAAGCTTGACAGGGGCTGATGTGGTGACCTGTTGGGGGGTCACTGGTGATACCTGAGATGTCCCCTCAGTGGAATCAGCAGAAAGGATAACTCCGTCTGGCTGAGAGGGATGTAGGCTGGCCTCTTTGTCTTTGGGGAAAGGGAACACAGCTGATTTTGACGTTCCTGTGGTTAAATCATCAATCCCTGGTTCTGTAAGAACAAACGTCCCAGTCACTTCCAGTGAGCGATCGAAATCTAAGGATGAAGGTAAAGTTGGAGATGACAAAGAAAAGGTGGATTCTACAGACACAGATGATGATGCTGGGTAAGCAGTTGCTCTTTTTGGCAATATATCATCTGAATAGGACAATGAAGTGAAGGGTTTCATGAGTAAGGAGGACAACTGTGGGAATGAAGATGAAAATGATGAAAAGGTCACTGATGGCGATGAAGACCGAAACAAAGAGGGCGATGGCACGTCATTTTGTGAGATTGATCTCTTCTGAGCTGTGGTAACATCTGGATGTGTAACAGCGGACTTGAACACAAACTTGGGAGACTGAAGATCAATTGCAGCTGCTGTGTGTTCACCCTTAAACACCGATGCAAAATAATTAGCTTGAGGTGACGTTCCAGAATAAGTAGTTATATAAGAGAGGAGCAAAGAAGCATCTGAAGCCCTGGCTGATGTAGCAGCAGTGCTAGCAGCGACTTCTGGCAGTGCACTGGCAGCAACAGCAGATCTAAGATAAGCAGGAGGCGAATCTGTACTTCCCTCCTTGTCGTTTGAGGTTCCTTTGACAGAGGTAATATATGGGTCCTCTCCACCAGTTGGATAAGTTGGATATAGATCACTGGTGACAGATGTTGAATCATCTGAATTCAATATATCCACATTATGCTCTTGTCTATCTTCCAGCTTTTGATGTTCATATGATGTGCCATCTGCTGGTAAATTAGATTTTGCACTGTCAAAGCCACTAGATGCATTTTCTGATTTAAAAGCACTGCTTTGAAGAGGCACAGGCTTGGTGGCTTTCCGCTTTGTATACACAGTCATTAGTTTTGTGCCAAATCTGCTGAAAATAGCACTCGATGTCTGCACGCTGTTCTGTCCGTCACTGAAGGAGCTACTTTCTGCAGAGGAATCAGCAGAGGAAACAGTTTGCCTGCCTAAAAATGAGTTTGATTTATCACCACTCACACTAGTGATCAATCCCAAAGAAGAGAAGTTTGTTCTCTGTGTCGGGATGTTTTCTGATTCCAAGACAAGAGAAGAAGTGACGTAGTCGTCGCGAGTAAGACTTCGAACAAGTCCTAATGCATCATCAATTGCTTTAAGTGGGGGTTTAGCAGAGGATTTTTTGTCAGAACTTTCAGAGGCATCATTAAGCACAAAGAGATTTTCTGAAGTCGTAAAAGTCGTCTCGCCTGTCTTGTGAATCGCAGAAGACTTTTCAATCCTACTGAAAGAAGAAGAATTATAACTCATGTCTGTGTTTGTGTGCAAATGTGCTGAAGGCTCATTTCTGTACAGCACGTTTGATGCTGCAGAATTTCTTAATGTTGTTTGGAACTCAGCAAGTCCGTGCAATTTTATGGGAGCAGAGGTTCCAGCTGAAAATCCTGCTAATTCAGCAGCTTTTGCAGAAAGTGAAGCAGGTGTAGAAAAACTGTTGAGGAAACTAAAAGAAGATTGTGTTTGAAGAGGTCTTTCCAGAGAGGACATTTGTGTTCCAGAATTAACCTCCTTACTGAAAAATCTCATGGCTGAATCTTCTTTAGGGTCGTGATTAGAGTTGCTGAGAGGTAAATATGAAGGCTGAGTGAGGTTTAAGCTGCTTTGCTGCTCAGTTTTATATGTCATCAATTTTGAAAACTCTGTTGGAACTGAAGGAGACTTTGTCCTGCTGTGTGGAGTGAATATAATTTTTAAAGCCACCCAGCCTCTGTGAGATGCATCCTTTACAGGCGCCGTTTGTGTCCCGAATTCCTGAACATCTTTAAGCCCATCAGACTCCGATGTGGACAAAGGTCTTTTTGCTTCAGTGCTCAAAGGCAGGCTGGAACCAGACTCAGGTCTCAGCTGCATGAGTGGAAGTGAGTTATCCAAGTGAGCCTGCGTGGAAGCAGATTTAAGCTCTGCTCCTGTTATTTCTCTCTGGTTGTGATTTATATTGATGGCGGGAAGTCTGGGACTGCTGTGACCCACTGCCATCAGTAAATCACCAGGATTAGATGCATGCTCTGAGGACTCGGTGCTGGCGTGTGTACGTGTTAGTTCGGTGACTTCAGTTTGAGAGAGAAGTGTTTGATCTGATGAGGAAACTGTCAAAAACACTCTGCTGGGTGTGAAGGCCACTGCTGGTGTTACAGATGGATTTACTGCATTGCTTTTGTGAGCTAAATTGTTAGTATCTGCTGCGGTCTTGTCTTCATTTTGAATATGTGCTGTTCGTTGTAACATCTGCTGTGTGACATGACTGGAAAGTGAATAGCCTTTAGCACGAGCAGACAGCAGTGCTGATGTGGGATTCTGTGAAGCTCCCTGCTGCCTCTGAACAGCTTGACTCTCTTGATTGAACAAAAATGAATAGCTGCTTTCAAGATTATAGCCAAATACAGAGTTCAAGCTCTTGTTCTGAGATGGAGTGGGTACATATAAATTATCTGAGGGATTCGCACTATTGTTTGGAGTAGAATATAAAATGTTTGTGCTGTTTTTTGCTCCAGATGATATATTTCTGCTTGTACCATTTATGAGCTTTTCAGGGATTTTTTCTACTAGTGAGTACAAAGAGCGTTTTGTCATTGTATTGCTCCTTTCTGTGTTCGCTTCACTTAGAAAGTTTGCTGGTTTGCTTGTGGCGTGTTGCATTCCCCGTGTAACAGCATGTAGGTCAGGGACTGTAGGAGAGGTAGGTTTTGCAGTTGTCAGACTGTTTGTCCAACCCTGAGGCCCTGCAGATGATGATGCTGCTGTCTCAGTCTGAAAAGCAAGGCTGGACACAGTTCCTTGACCCTTTGATGAAACAGCTTTGTTTATCCACTCAGTGGATGACAGAAAAAATAAAGACAACAGGGATGAAGGCACATTTGATGTGGCTTCAGCTGATGAGGACATTGATGTCAATGATGAAAATGGAAATGATGAGAGATCTTCCTTTCCATCCTTAAAAAAAGATGTATGTGATGGCCTCGAGACACCGAACCAACCAGCCTGGGTGGGTATGGTAGGTTTCTGAGACATGCTGAAAATCAGACCTGAACTTGCTTGGAAGCTGTCTCCCTCAAACGAGGAGGAGGAGGACTCGTTTGAGCCTTGGCTGGAACTACGTGAAGGCCATTGGGTGGTGTGCATCTCTTCCCTGCTGACAGTCGGCAAGGCTCTACTTTGATCAAGGCTCACTGGATGTTTGACAGTTCCTGCCATCACGGTTAAGATGGAGGAAAAGGCTGGCTGTCCCAACAAGCCTTCTCCACCAGACTCAGGGTCAACATCTGAACGAACCACTTGAAAAGGCACCTCCTCTGCCACCGACAGCTCAGTCAGCGAATGGATGGGAGCACCAGTGACTACAAAGCTGCTCTGTAAAGGTGAGAAGCCAGAGGCATCATAGGTGGATTTTTCTGTAGGTAGATAGATAGAAAGAAAGAAAGAAAAAATAACGGTTTAATATTTAAGACCACTTACTAGGCAGCATATCCACCACCAACCAATTTACATAAAATAGGCAAAAGAATAATCCAGGCTTATTTGTACTCTCCTCATACTCACTCTCAAATCCTCACAGTAAAGTGATGTTGGTCCTGATGACCTGCAGTTCAGGTTAGTTTAGTATAATTTACAGTAGTCCCTCAATGTTTTGTAGTTTTCTTTCAATAAGCCTATACTGCAACACTAATCAAAAAAGAACTACACTACCCAGAAGCCAACAGTGGTTCCAGCTGCTGCTTTCTGCCAAAATGGAGGGATAGTTTGCAACACAAACCTACGCTATCTATTAAACTCAGAAAACTGGCAGGAAAGTCACAAATAATCCTGAAGCTTCCTAAAGCTCAATTATATACGTGCACATCAACCAGGATGAGATGGGCTTCGTGGCTGCAGGGTAAGTCTGCAGAAACGGAACCGAGCCCAACCAGAACCAAGCTGCTGTTCTGCAGAGCTGGTGAGTCAAATTTTGCAGTACTATACAGTGCATACACCCATGTTGTTAAAATTACATAGGTTTAAGAGTTTAGAACATTGCAAGAGTGTAGGAATGGTTTATAAAGCCTTAAAATATATATAAATTCTAAAATTAATATACAGTAGTCCCTCATTTGTTGCAGGGGATCCGTACCATGAAGCCCCACGATAAGTGAAAAAACACGAAGTAGGGATAGTAGTACAAGTAGTAAGTA